TCGGCGAGGAAAAAGAGCAGTGGCAAGTACGGCACAGGAGGAAATTCAAGGAAGCAGTCACTGTGAACAGCTTAGGTTTTACTAGGCAGTGAATTAATCTCTGACCAAATTTGCTGGATAAATAGAAAGGTTTTTTTATAGCATGGAGTACTGTAATTAAATAGGAAAATCTAACGTAGACATGTCCTAGAGATGTCTATGACCGTTTATGAAGCCCTTGAGTTGCCCAGATGCCTTGTCCGTGCTCGTGTGCCGTTAACGAGTTTCACTCTGGCTGCCGGAAGGTTCGTGTTCAGCCAGTAGCTGAGCGCCCTCCGGATAGGAATTACCTGTCCAGGGTCGGTCGGACCCTATTTGCGCACAAGCTTCAGTTTTTTTAATCCGGTGACATGAAAGCTGAAAGGAAAATGTATGCACGTAGAGCGAGTTTAGTCAGCCATAAAACATGACTTGTGCTCATTTGCAGCTGACGGCTTCCCAAGCAAGAGACAGATGCTCGCCTCAATGGATTATAATTATATGCTGGAGGTGCTAGAATTGCTTTAATATTTGATTGAAATAACATACGATTTTCTTGAAACCCGATTACATTTGACTACTTACGAGTATCTGGAAAAAAGTACAGTGTTGGAGGTGATGTTTGTGCCTGTGTTGTAAACATGCCTGGGATTTAACTGTGAACCACCATCTGGGAATACTAATTTGAATTTAATTGATATTTTTGTTTAGCTTGCGATTCAGCAGAGGTTTTCATACTCATTTTCGCAGTCGTTAGTTAAATGCATTGTGTATTTGACAGAGAAACCGAAGCAGTCTGTTACCCTGTGATGAGGCCTCAGGGTTACTTGCTGGCTCTGAGCATTATGCACTACAATCCATTTACTTAAATTTGGTGAAGTCTGAACGGGTTGAAAGTAACGGAAGGTTTTTGGTTTATTTCCTCGAGGGCCAGAATTGCACCAAAAGGAGGTAATTGGTTAATGAGGGCTCGTTTCTGCCTCAGTGCCTGGGGAATGTGATACGGTTCGCTGTATTGCTGCTGGGGCTCCCGCTCCTCTTCGGCTGATCTGTGAGCAGAACAAAGCAAACAAATCCTCATCGCCTATTTATGTCGCTCACTTTTGACACAGTGTCTCACACGGTAATTGTGAGCGTGTTGGAGCGTAACTTTGGGGGTTACGCAATGACTGCAGAGCAGAGGGCACAGTAAGACTCGGGCAGTCTGGGTGTCTGATTAGTGCCAGAAACGAGGGCTGTGCCAGGGCCAGCCTGGCGCTGGGGAAGCTGGACCCGCTCAGCACCCGAATTTGGGTGTATTATCCTGCAGGACTCCAGGAGGTCACTGAATCCCACCCCGCTGTACCTTTTTTGTCCTGTCTGTTGCAGAGTGATGCCTGCTCACCTCACTGAGTCTTGCAAAGCCTTCAGCGACGATTTGTGAAGATCACTGAGCCTCTTAGGGGGAAGATGCCCTTCACTGCCACTTGTCACTGCCTTCCTTCAAGACACTTTGCTGCTTGTGTTTTTGTTTATCCCCTCCTTGTGTCTGGGCACCCCCTTTCTCCCCTTCCAGCTGCAGTTTTGTGCTTTGGCCGTTTCTGTTTCCCATCGGGGTGTGAGCACCGGGCTGCTGTCGCTGCGGTTGTGTCTCCGGCTGCGTGTCCTGGGACAAGCTGAGGTTAGGCTGTGGACCACCTTGACATAACAGGAGCACTGCAGGAGAGCTGGAATCCGCATGAAAACAGCCCTGGTAACTGCAGGAAACCAAGACTGATTTGTAACATCCCTCTCTCATTTTTTTAATAGGATTTCGCAACCTGCATGTGGATGACCAGATGTCAATAATCCAGTACTCTTGGATGGGCCTTATGGTGTTTGCTATGGGCTGGAGATCTTTCACCAACGTCAATTCCAGGATGCTTTACTTTGCTCCAGATTTGGTCTTCAACGAGTAAGTGCGAAATAACAACAATCTAATATTGTGCTTTGTCTGGGTCAGACTAGGTGAGAAATGAGAACAAGACAAGGAATCTGCTTTCCCATCTGCTTATGAAACGCACGGCTTGCAAAAGCCTGCTGTCAGAGCTGACCAAGAGAGCATGGGGGGCCCTGCTGGTCCCCTCTAGTTGCTCTGCAGTGGTCTCTGGGAGCAACAAGGAGAGGTGCAATGTCTCTCCTGGTCCTTCTTTCTTTTCCCTCAACCTTGCCTTGGGTTCGACCTCCATCAAGGCACCAGCAGGTGCCGGTGCGGGGCATGAGGGGCTGGTCCGTACAGAACTGCCGTTCTTCTGACGGGTCTGAGTTCCTGCTGTCAGCTTGGTTGGTCAGCTGGAGCGAGCAGAGACAGAAACAAGCCCGTATTGTAAGTTCCTGCTGGGTTCTCTCTGAAGTACCATCAGCTGAGAGTTGGGGAGGGTTTGTTGGCACTAAGGTAGAAGAACTTAGAACCAATAAATACGCACAGCAGCAAGGAAAAGCACACCTTCACTCCGAGAGCCCCGAGCTCAGCGTCGGATCCCTCGGGGATAGCCACGTTTGGTGAATCAGTGCAGTCGCTCTTCAGGAGGGCAGAGGGTCAAGCGAACCCTGCAAATCCCAGGTAGTCATCCGTTTCCACACGAAGAGGATTACACATGGGAACTCTGGAAAACGTTCCTCTCCTGCACGCAGCCTGTTGCTGCCAGCTTCCCCCGAGACAGAGCTCAGGTTCTTGCGGGTGGGGATGTGCCAGGCGAGGCTGGGATTACCGGGTTGGGCAGAGCGTGTCCTCCCCCACACATCACTCAGCAGTGCTTTGATCTCCTTGCCATGCGTTGCGCGTCTTGCCCTGCCAGGTACCGGATGCACAAATCCAGAATGTACAGCCAGTGTGTCAGGATGCGGCACCTCTCTCAGGAGTTCGGGTGGCTTCAGATCACACCCCAGGAGTTTCTCTGTATGAAGGCTCTGCTCTTCTTCAGTATTAGTAAGTACTCACGTCCTTTCCTCAGCAGATCTCCAGTTGCTATGCACTGTATCGCCCTAGAGGCACCCGGTGCTTTCCCTGTGCATGTGCTCATACTTCCCAAGGGATGGCTGTGGATGTTCTCCTCTCTGCTTCGAGCTGAGCTGCTCAGAGACAGTGAGCTGCCAAGCCCAAGGGTGCCACCACCCCCCACAGCTAGCCCGCCCCACCGCTGCACAGTGCAGCTCGGGCAGGAGGTTGCTCCTCAGCCTGACTGCTGTCATCGTGGGGACCTCCGAGCATCACCTGCCGAGCAGGAAAATAGTGCTGCACTTTGTTACCCTGCCTGTCTTTCATAGCGAGTGCTGAACGAGGGTCCTTGGGCTAGCAGCAGTCCAACAAGCTGATCAGATGAGGGCCATAGCGGAAGCGGGGCTGGTGGGCAGATCTTTCCTGTTAGTTCTGCACTGACCACGTCTCCAGCCTTCCTCTTGCTCTTCTATTCTCTCCGCTTTTTGGGCAACTCTTACTGTTTCCTTCCTGTGTTCCCCCCAGTTCCTGTGGATGGCCTGAAGAACCAGAAGCTCTTTGATGAACTTCGAATGAATTACATTAAGGAACTTGACCGTATCATCGCTTGCAAGAGGAAGAACCCTACCTCCTGCTCTCGGCGATTTTACCAGCTCACCAAGGTCCTGGACTCCGTGCATCCTGTAAGAGAGGACAGTGAAATGTCTATCTATACACATCAGAAACGATATACAAAAGAAATTTTTTACAGTGAGAGCAATATTCACTGGAACAACTTCCCTGGGGTCACGGTAGTCCCCATCACTGGAGGTTGTCAGGATGCGATTGGGCAGGGTGCTAGGTAGTCTCATCCAGGCTCCCGTTCCCAGGGAAGACTGCACCCGGTGACCTTTCGAGGTCCCTTCCAACCTGGGCTGTTCGATGATTCTGTCACCCTTTGTGGTTTGCTTTTTAACTGCTGGCACACCTTTGCAGGGACAGTATTGCAGTCTGCTCCCAGGTTAAGCGACAGAGAAAAGAGAGATGCCAACTCTACCGAGGGAGTGAAGGTTATCGGTGTCTGTCACTCCCTGCAATAACCACTCTTGTGCTTGGGTTTATGGGCTTCCCTTTTTAGCAATGTAAAGCTCTTTGTGGACCATACTTTTCCATCGTCAGCCTAGCAGAACAACTCAAAATCTCAGTGACCCCGATGAATCTTCTCTGATTACAGCAGTGAAAACAAATTCTCTATTTGTGACTTAAAGTTGTACCGGTGAAACGTGAGCTAGACCTTTCCTCTTCCCTGGGGCTCAGCTCCGTGCCCACACAGTTATATGTCTACAAGCAAAAAAGTAATTCTTAGTGAGTGAAGTCAGCAGCATCTGCACACAGTAAGCCGAGTTTCTGTAGGAGCAGGAAAGCGCCCTTTTTATACAGCCCCGGTTTTGTGGGACTCGGTAATGCCTGAGCGTGAAGGGCCATGGCAACACACGCTCCGTGCTCCCAGGCTGGGTGGGTCCCTCGCTCATCCTTGGGATGCGCGTACCTGCCCTCTGGTAACTGTTAGCGGGGCAGCGGTGGCCAGAGAGCAAAGCAGGTCCCGCTGCAGCAAGGTCCAGCCCGGCCCTGCTGTGCCTGCCAAGGTCTGCTCGGTATCTTCCCAGAGAAGGCGCTGCCCAGGGGCGTCTTGCTTAACAAACTTTCTTCCTTTCCCAGATTGCCAAGGATCTGCATCAGTTTACATTCGACCTTTTAATTAAGGCACATATGGTGAGCGTGGACTACCCCGAAATGATGGCCGAGATCATCTCTGTGCAGGTTCCCAAGATCCTGTCTGGAAAAGTCAAGCCTATCTACTTCCACGCACAGTGATCTTCGGAGGGACCTCCCAGTTCTGCCATGCCCATTTCAGCCATCTCCTGCCTGTTATTTCTGCACTACTGTACTGCAGTGCCTTGGGGAATCCCCTCTACGGAGGCGGCGTGCCAAGAAGACGGACAGTAACAAACGACTACCTGCTGGGATTCCTGAGATTTCTATTTTTCCTGAGGTACCTCTGGACTGAACTGCCCACCACGGTTTCTGCCTGGATTCGGCTGGCGCGCTGTGCTGGGACAGGAGGGGACTGTGGCACGGTGACAGTGGCACCATGTCTCTGCTCTCTTGTTTGTGTGTTTTCCACAGTGACTCTTACGGCCCAGAGCCACCGGAGATTGGGAGAAACGCCAGCAGCTGTTGGGTTGGGGTTTATTTTTTAAACAGAACAAGACAAGCAGCAGGTTCAACCTATAAGTTTGGGTGCGGGTTACTTTACTGGGCTCCTTTGGGACTTTTTATTTGCATTATGGTGCTGGGAAGCAGATGAGCTAAAATATTACAGTAGAGAAACAGAGAAGAGTTGGGGGGCGAGATGAATTTGCAGCCTGATGAATTACAGGACCTGCTGCTGGCTCCGAAAGCTGCGATGCGGTCGTCGTGGGATCTGCTCCGGACAGCACGCCGCTGCCGTCTGCGACCCCGCAGCCAGCACGTACGAGCTGGTGGAGCCTTGTCAGCAAAAGGGCTGGAGGGAAAGGTGACCTTTGGAAATCCCCAGAGATGCCGGACGGCTGCTGTTTTCCACCTGGGATGTTTTTCCTGCGGCCAGTCAAACTGGATCTCGGTCTGCCCCGCGGACGCCTGGGCGCTCAGCAGTCACATTCCCGTCCTCGAAAGCTGCTGCTCCTCTGACACAGCCGTAC